TCTACCGCACAACCCGCGTCGTAGCAATGGACTAATTGAGAGGAGAGTTCGATAAGCATTTTATTTCATGTTCGGGACCGACCGCGTGGATTGTGCGATTTAACGCATTTAGACTACTTTTTTGTAGGGCATTGGAAGATAACATTGAAGCATTAATTCGTGAAATACCGGCCAAAATTGGACTAAGCGAATGGACCATTTGAGGCGCAGTCACGGTCAACTTTTACAAGAAATAAACTTCAAATATTATTTTTTATGGACTGAACTATAAATTCAAAAAAAAAAAAAAAATGATGCATTTTTCCGAATTTTATGTGTTTCTTTTCTTTTTGTGAAAAACTTGCCGGAACAACTCTAGATTAGTAAAAACTCTTCGATTTTTTGGAATTTTTTTTCTAGAGGTAGGTATTTTTACTCTGATTCCGGGAGTCCGTGTTCAAGACCCGGTATAGACCCAGATCCACTTACCCGATATAGACAATATAGGAATCCTTTGAAAAATACCTATCCAACAAGTGGTCGCATGAAGGGGTTACTTATAAGCGCTTCGGAAGTTTAGTCAAATTATCTATTTTTTGGAACCGGAGTTTTAATAAAATCCAAAAAAAGTCGAAAAGGGCCCATATGGGGGTCACTATAAGCTTTCCAACGATATCTATATTGCCTTTATCGGGTAAGTAGATCCGGATCTAGTGCCGGACAAAATCTGGGGTCCCTGGTCCGTCCCCAAGAAAAAAAATGGTTTTCCGAAATCAGGGCAAAAAACCTACAACTGGGAAAAAATTCGAAAAAATTGAAGAGTTTTTGCTAAACTATAGTCAAGCCAACTTGCCTATAGTTCTTAAAAAATCACCCTTTAGTCAAATTTTTTTATTGGCTTTTCTGACATTTGTCACTTATGCCACCCAATTCGCTGTTTCGGAAGTTAATCGATATTTAATCACGATCATTTGTTAAACATTATAATTGTCATTTGCTTTGATTACTGAGGTATGTGTTACTAAATATATAATTGAATATTAATCGATATTTTAAATACTTCGCATCCCAATTCGATTCACTCGATTAAAAATTAAAATGATTTAATTCATATATCTATAGTATTGATTCACCAATTTATACATACAGCATACATATACCTATACAATAAATTGAATACTAAAATATATTTATTTACAATTCATTCTCAATGGAAATACACACTAAATTTTGGGCAATGGCGGATCATGTGTAAAATTCCACAATTAAAAAACAAACTCATTTATAATTAACCTTAACACATCAACTTGCAGTTTTAATTTCGTAATCCAGTGAATCTGATGAAAACGACTGGTTTCCCATGCAACAAAACAAAAAACAGAAAAAACATGTTTTCCAAAAGAAACAAAATAAACGTGAGGTTACACAAATCGATTTTAAAGTCATCTTCCATTGTATGAGCTTAGTGTATCAGCTTCACATTATGGCCGTGACAAAATACTACAATATCGATATTTTGTTTTACATTACAACACTAAACAAAAAAAAAATATTCCGTTCGTTACTACCAACAGTAATTTGTTATAGTTTGCAAATAATTACATATTGTTGAAACTGTTTTGCATGATCACTATGATGTCAAGATAAAAAAAATCAGCAACTAAATGAGATTCTAAAAGTAGGTACAAAAATATAAATATATATAGAGTACAAAATACATTAAATGATTTAATTTTAATTTGAAAATATAATCACTCAACAAAATTCTTCCTTCAACATTTTATTTTTTAAATATTCTTAAAAAAATATTAAAAATCATGCATTTTGAGGACATCTTCAAAGTTATATATTAATTTCACAATATCATGATACCCATATTGGCATCTACATTGTACTCAGTAAAAATCTTAATCATTATTGCGCAGCATTTAACAAATTACAAAATCTAAACCTGATAATTTGCTAGACATGATGCAGTTTTCTAACTTCAGGCAAAACCAAGTAGTAGCACGTTTCTATAAACTACATCACTGGCAACTGCCGCATAGCAGTATAAGATTTATGAACGAAGAACAACATAGTATTGATTCTTCTGAAATCTGTGCAAAGAAAATGAAGTGTTACAAAGAATTTTTTCATTATACTTTTCCGGCTATTTAAAGCACTTCCATGCACGATCGGCCTGTATTTATTTGTAATTCGAAAATTGAATTTCAGTTGTGATGGGAGAACAGTTGTGATGGGAGAACTCTTTTTTATTTGGATTTTTTTTTCATTTGTAATTCGAATAGCTACAGTGGGAATTCGAAGCAAAAAAAAATATACGAAAAATTTGAAAACTTGCTTTGTATTTGCTTATTTGAACTACAAATGAAATCGTTCCAATTATTAAAGAAATAATTCGAATTTCAAATAAAACAATTCGAACTACAAATAAAAAAATCGAGATAATCCGACTTTGCAATAGAATTGTTTCGAATTATGAACGAACAACTTGAATGTAAGGAATTACATATAAACTAGTGCTGGCTCTCGGAGGGACCGCCTTCTCCAGATCTCCTACTGCGATTGAAGAAAAGTTCTGAGATTCATCACGTCGGATATAACTGAAGTCTTCGGAGGGAACAATTTCCTAAGTCATAGAGACATGTTCTTCAAAATGTTCTGCAGTATTACTCTACAGGGTGAGATGCACAAATTGCAACCAACTTCAGCCACTCGTCCATTTCTAAGCCACTCATCCGACAGCTGTTAAAATTATTCCAGTGACAGTTCATTATGTTGTTTACGCAAAAGCACTTTGGGGAAAATTTTCCAGAAAAAAAGTTATTCGTGACAGAATTCAATTGTGATTTCTTTATATTTGGCTGAAAAACCACAAGTGGTTATCCTTAGAGCACTCCAGCATTTAAATGTGAATAAATCTTTTGTGTCTCGTGCCATCGCTCGTTACCGTGATACTGGTAGCGTAGCCCGACTTTAAGGAAGTGTACGAAAGAAAACAGCAACATCAGCAGAAATGGTTCGAAAAGTAAAGAAGGAAAACCGCGTCGCAGTAGCCGAAAAATGGCTTGTGAGCTGAACATATCGATATATTCCATTCGGCAAAATAGACTTAAAAGAGCTAACGAGTTGCTTCGCTTGGCCAAAAGTGGTGAACTGCCGAATTTGATTTTCTCCGATGAGAAAACATTCGTTGTCCAGCGCCACCCAAGAATGGGTGGCACAATGGCCACCAAAATCTCCACATACCAATCCGTTGGACAATTGTGTCTGGAGTATTTTGGAAAGCAAGGTTGGCACTAAAAGCTACCAAAGTGTCGATCACCCCAAGCAAGCGCTTCACCGCGAAGTGGCCAAAATACCACAGAGCAACATTCGGGCAGCGTGTGATAGTTTCATTGGCCGTTTCAAGGCCATAATTCGTGCCAAAGGTGACCAATTCGAACGAATCTAAATTTATTCTAAAACTTGATGATATTTCCGACATTTTTTGCTTTCATTCAATAAAATTAAAAAAAAAAAATTAAAAATTATGGCGTTTGACTTTGTTGCAGTTTTTTTTTTAATCTCACCCTGTTTATCATCTTCGCAACAGATCTTGCGTTAGCAAAATTATTTGGATGTGTGAAATTTGAAGAGAGTTGGATGGTTATATCGCTTTCTTTGAGCCTTTTGATTTTCAAAATTCTTGAACCCGTGGGTGAGGTACCTGAAGAATCTCTACCATACGATCTCTACTATCATTATAACAGATCTTGTGTTGATAGAAATATTGACCTGTGCCTCCATAAATATTCAAAATTTTGTCCCTTTGTGAGGAGGTACCAGAAAGAGTGGACCGATACATTCCATTTTCAGCAGCAAATCTTCTGTTAATAGGAATAGTGGGATGTGTGAAATGCGAAGAGAACCGGATGCTTAGTTCGGATTTTATAATCGTTTTGGTTATTCAAAACTTTGACCCCTTGTGGGAGAGGTACCAGTAGGAATAGTCCGATATCCACCATCTTTATACCAGCTCTTGTGTTTATGGAAATAGTGGGATGTGCCAAGTCTAATTGGTATCCGATGTTAGTTTCGTGTTTTATGAGCTTCATGAATATTCAATACTTTGACCCTTTGTGGAGGAGGTGCCAGAACCACCACAACCAGTCGAAAAGGGCATCAACGCTAATCATAGATCTATTTTATGATTTGAGATCAGTAGGAAAATTTGATAAATTAATCTAAAATATTTCCCCTTTGAAAAAACTATAGCTACCCAATACATCTAAAGTGAGGGAGGGATTAAAAACGCATTATCTTTGAATTTTCAAATGCTCACGATATTTGTGCGACCTGAACTTGAAACAATAAAACCGGCTTTTTTAAGCATAAAACAGTCGAGATGATACTTCAACAGTTTTCAAATTTGTGTGGTTGCTCAAGGACAAACATACAGTTGATTTGTTTAAAATGCTGCTGTTGTCCAACAACAACAATGTCTGCTAAGATGCACTTGAAAATCTTAATATACCAGAAACAACAAAACCGTCTAATACAGGTATTAACATAACCCACATCTCACAAAGTTATGTTAAAAACCGGATTCCTTAGTTGAAGCTTTTAGCTATGTGAGCAAGCTAGTCAGCGAAACAGTCTCCATGTAGTAAAGCACATGCAATAACAACCAACCATCCAACCAACTTAGCAATAATTGTGTAAAAAATCAACCAGACAGACAGACGGACGGACGGAACTAATGAAACACAGTCACTATGATAGCGGTTTCACGTCGATGTTCGAACAACGACCTCACACTATTAGCAATGACAATGACTTTCCAAAAAAACACACGCTAGTAGATGTGTATTTTCAAAACCCAAAGAAACAGAGGGCCAAAGAATTTCTTTTTGGTTAGCATTTTGCACTTTGATCACGGCGTAGCCATGCCAATACTGATACGATACGATATAGGTAGGTAGTGTGTACACACATTCATATTTAGGTTAAACATTACTCTAGCCAAATAAACTCACCTGCGTCTGCTATTCATCTTGCCATAGGCTATAATCCAGAGGGCGGCTGAAATGCCTGTTAGACCCACAATGGCACTTTGATTTTCGCGTAGTTTACTTAGAGCGGGAGCCATGTCTACTGTTTAATTGATAAATCAATAATTCAACACAAATTTACTACAAATAAGTTAGTATTACTTGTATTACAAATACACAGACTATATTTTCGCTTGCTTTCGTGGAATTACTCAAAGGGGGAAAAGAAAATATTCCACTTGCTTTTGTTGTTTTGTTCTGGCCTTTTTGCCTCTTAGAACTCTCTTTGCACTAAAGCACAGCCTGTCGTCGCCGCGTTAACACCAAACAATGTCCGTTGATTAGTATGGAAATGTCAAAGTGTTACAATTTTGCAATTCCTTCTCGCTCAACATTCACACAAACTCGAAACACTTTTCGTTTTTTTTTTTCTCTTTGCCTTTAAATATTAAACAAAACGTTGTTAATTAACCTTTGGCAAAGTGTTTTCAGTGCAATTTACATAAAAATCTGTCGAAATTTTCTTTTTCGTTTGGTTTTCTGTAATAGTGCTGGTTGTGCTATTTGACTTTTGTCGCTGTTGCCGCCGTTACGTTGTCGTGGTATTTACAAGTGTATTGGTATTGTATTTCGCTATTTAATTTGTTAATTTCTTATATACAACAAATTTTATTTTGTCAATCACAAATATCCCATCCCGTGCTTTGCTACTAAACAGTTACGAGTTTTCCACCGCACAAAACACATCTGACCATTGGTGGGGAATGTTTTTTTCTTATTGTGGAGCAGATGCAGATACACTTAGGGACATGTAGGTCGATTAGTTGAGAGGCACGACAAGACGATATATCGAATTAGTGTTATCGGTAGTAAACCAAAATTATCGATTGGTGGTTTTGCTTTTGCTGCTATGCTCACTTTCGCCACGTTCATGTGACTTTTATTAGCAAATGGCAAAGTAGAGCGAACGATCTAAGCGTTTTCTCATGTCGCGCGTTGACGCACACATGTGGTCTCTTCCAGAAAAGCAAGAATTAAAGAGGTTTTACTACGATCACCGATTTTATCCTTATAATATCGGAAAAATTGCAAAATTAGTAGATTCTTGCAGGTTTTGAACAGACCAATAATAAAAATATATTAAAATGGTGTGCATAACCAGAATCAGCGATTGGATTGTTTTAACACGGTACAATAAAAAGGAAAAAAATTGTAAAATATAAAAAAAAACTCAACTCTAATGCTATGACCGCTCTCTGTCAAATTACACAAGGTAATAAACGACGACGCTTCGATAAAATAATTAAAATTCTTGAAAACAAAAGAATTGTTTTTCAATATTGTGCTGGTATTATAGCCAATACTTTTTTCTCAGAACTAATATGCCTAGCTTATGCTGCTTATGTACCCTCGCCTTAAGAAATGCATAATTAGATTCTAAGAAGATGTTTTCCGACTAGATAGTTAAAAGTGTTGTTTGTTTGTTGTGTAAAATTAAATTTGCAGTAAAAAGTCATATATAGTCATCAATAAGAAAGGTGGCTCAACTTCAAACAAAGTAGAAAAAGTTCAACTCTGTACTGGTGTCTTATTGTGTCAAATATACTTTTAGACATGCAACAATGGGTCTTGTCTATTTTATATTTTTTATTTAAAAAAAAATACTATATTGTGGAAAAACCACAACCACAATGAACGGAACATTATGTTTTTTTACCTGCAAAATTGAATTCGAGATAGATGGACAACATTGTTTTATCCCAAAATTATACATTTTGTTGTCTTAGTAAAAATTTTAACATTCTTGCAGTTCTGGAACAGACAAAAAATGAAAAAACATATGCTAGTGTGTAAAGGTGAAAGTACATAAAAGCGCTTTTTTGACTCGCTTAAGTCATAGCCTGGCTTCTTCGTGAGTTTTAGATCGGTAATGGCAACCCTTTTTCATATTGGAACTCATCTATAATTTTCAAATAATTTTTATATTCCATTACTATTTACGCAAGACGTGTGGCGTATTTTCTGTAAAATTAATTTTATTTTTCTGAATGGAACCATTGACATAAACACACCAACTAATCGGTAAAGTTTTGATTTTCTCTATTCGCCTACCACAATATGGCGAAACATATTAGCTGGGGATATGAAATCTTAAACAATATAATATTTTTCCCATGGAACACAAGTTGTGCATGCAGTTCAAGGGAGGTGACCATGGCTAAAACACTAGAGGTAGTCTCATTTGCTAAATTGAATATGGCAACGCTTTTCTGACAAACTCGACCTTGTCATTTTTCAATTTAAAATTAATTTCAATCCTAAAATATCTACGTACGACAAGTGGCATATTTTACAAAAATAGGAAATAATCCATTAATTTCGGGGTTCCTTATGTATAGGTCCGTCTTTGGGGGTTAAAACCCACAGTAGCCATCTGAAATATATTAGCAAAATCTCCATAATAGCTGTTATATGGTTTCTATACTAAAGCGAAATCTTACGCTCACGATTTCCTGCAAAATTCAACCATTCCATTATCAAGTCATACATGACGTATGAGGCTAATATTTTAGTCTTCTGTTTTTGATTATATTTTTCCTTGACTTTAAAGATATAAAAATGGTAAAAAATTAGACATTGAAGGGACATCAAATAGTAATAATATTATTGCATGAGATTATCTTGGTAATTGTACCAAGGGCGAAATTTTTAATTTTGAAAGTTCATGGTTTTCGTTGGGTTGTCTATTTTTGCTTCAGACTCTTTTTGCAGAAATAATTGGCGATTTATTTTACGAAATTAATTAAAAGTTCATATTGTTTATTCTTTTTAACAAAAAAAAAATTGCCAATGTAAACAAAAGCGGTAACTGCCTGTTTCATTTAAAAAAGTACTAATGTTATTGCCATATCATCAAAAATCATTTATTTTAAAGGAACGATGTAATAATTTAACTCAGATAATGATAAAAAGGGATAACAAAGTTGTACTATTAAGAAAATATATAAAAAACAGGACTATGTCTTGCAAAAGTTGTGTTCCAGTACTTTTTTAGTAGTAAAACTAGCAGAAGAGAGAACAGTTCGAAATGTCATTCTCATTTAGGTTTGCTCAAAAAATAAGGGAACGGAAAATTAGCAGAAATGCGATAAAATGTCAAAATTCAAAATTCCAAAAGTAAACAGCCTAAATCGGACTGGTGAAACCTTACTGAAAAGAGCGCCAACATTTAAAAAATGAGTATTGAAGACGATAAGTTAAAATTAATAATTTATAATAATAATTAATAATCTGATTCCTCATTCAGCCAGTCCTCTTCACTGCTGGAATCATCCAAAAGTGAATACATCAGTTGCTCCATATTTTCTCCTTTTGTTTTTTGCACGACAAATATTGGTTTTTCCTTTAGTTTTCAAGTTGATCATTTTCTTTATTGAAATGTATCAATACATTTTTCAACCTTGTTAGCCCTGCCAATTAAATGTCAAATTTACAATATGCACATTTCTGCTCGGCCAAATTCATGTAGCTAAAAAAAGCAGAAATGTGCACCACTCAGCGCCATTTTTTTCTCGAGAGAGCTGCAAGTTTTGCTAGTTTTTGGAGTACGGGAACGCGTTGTAGCAGAATTAATGCTTATTAGTACTAATTTGCAGGTTCTGGAACACAATTAAAGTACTTTATGAATTTGGTTATTTGGCATTAATTTCCCGTCACAATTTAAGTAGCCACATTGTGTTGTATTTTTCTCGTAGACAAGTCTGTGTAATCTCGGCCATGTAAGACAACGAGCACACTATTCAGCAACGAATAATTCAGCAAATACGAACGAATTGAAGCTACGAAAATTTTCAATCGGCCACATTATTAGGATCGTGACATAGTCAGTCAGCGTTGAAGCAGCGAAAATTTTCTTTTGAGGAAGCAAAGAACCTACAAAAGGTATGCAAAAGTTATTATCAAACAAGCAAATCGAAAAAAAAAAATCCATTATTTCTTATTTTACAACGAGATAAATAAAATTAAAACAGAGTAAGCAAATTTTATTGAAAATGGTTTTGTGTGTGGAGAACAAAGTTAAGTGATGTGATTACTGCACCACTATATGTAACACACCGTACGAATGAACGAACAAGAAGGGTGAGATACACAGCAAGCGCAAGCTAATGGAAGAAGAAAAAAATTACATAACGAGAATTTTTATGAAAACTTTTTTCCATGGAGCATAACTGCTCCAAGCAATTATGCTACGTAGGTTTAAGGTTACTGTGGTGTAGGGGAGAGAACAAACTAGGACAGTAAGAAAAATTATGAAATATATTATGAAAAGGAAGTATATTTTTGCAATTGAATTTATTTAGAAATTTTGGTTTTCTAAAAAACAAAAAATGACAATTTTTAATGCACAGTTCAAGCGGAGACATAAAATATTCATGCGTTCAAGTTCATTTTTTATACAGGAATTTACGAAAAACACAAATACATTTCATTTCTACGCTAAAAAATAAAACAGGACCAATAACCATCAATCCCCAGTGGCTGGCGAATGGTAACAGCCATCCAAACAACATAACCAACAAACCAGCAGCAGTAAAGCAGCAACTCAGCCAAACAACAATCTAAGCAAAAAACATCGAAACTCGGAAACAAATCATTTGAAGCAATAAAGGCTGGTGGTAAAACACAACAGCTCTTCAAAGGCGGCGGCCCTAACAAAAGAAACGAGAATCAAGTAATGTCCAATTATATTCAATTTTTTACAAATATTTTTCTTTAAACTCGAAAAAAAAAAAACAAATCAAAATATATTTTTGTAAAATGCCATTATATTTTCTTGTTAAATTCCAAAATAATACTTATGTAAATTGTATCCTGGAAAAATTGCAACAGCCCTTTGGCCAAATTAACAAGAAAATATTTTGAATGAGAAAAGAAATTTACCAATATTTTTGAAGAGAAATATAGCATGAAAAAAGAATAATAGGTATAACAAACCAAAAAAAAAATCTGTAATGCAAAAACATAGACACAAAATTCTAATTATGAGGATGATGGTTTGATTTGCAGGTACTTGGCTCACATTGGTGGCTTGGTGCTAACAAACAAACATACAGACAGACAGACACCCAAACATAAAGCAGAAGTAAAGGCAAATAAATTTCGTCACCATGTCCAGTGGAAGTGGTGGTCAACGTATACGCCGAGATGAATTCGACATAGAGTCGAGAAGTGATGAGCATTATCATCATCGAAGAGGAGGAGATGATAGACGGAGTCATTCAAATCGCAGATCTCCTTATAGTCGACATCGTGATGATGATTATAGTCGTTCACGAAGCCGAAGTCGCGGCCGTTACGGCGGTGGCGGTGGCAGTCAACGTCGTGGAAACAGCAGATATTCTGTTAGTCGCAGCCGCAGTCGTAGCCGTGGTCATTCCTCGCGACGACGTCTTGACAGTGGCAGTCAACATTCTTCACATTCTAAACGATATCGTGATTCACGATCCCGCTCCTATTCTAGATCACGTTCCAGGTCGCCGGCCTATAACAGGCGGCAAAATCGTCATCGTGATTATGACACCGACGACAGAAGAGGCGGCGGCGATTATAAACGTCGTAGTTCCAAGTCACGTTCCAGATCAAGATCGTCTTCACATTTTCGAAGCGATCGAAATGAGAAAGAACAATCCAACAAGAAGACGCACAAGAATAACCTCGATGCTATAAAGGAAAGCGATGCATCATCAAATGATAACTCACAAGAATCTAAACAAAGCCAAGACTCAAACTATGTAGGCAACCTAGAAGATTTGCCCTTGCCCCAGCAAAAAAATGATGAAAGCAAACAGCAAAATGATGCTGATAAAGGTATTTACAAATTCGATGAAAATGAGCCAATTGATCGGGCTCGTATACACCGTGAAATGGAGGAAAAATTACGGCAGGCCTTGGCCAAAGAGGGTAAAGTCTATCCACCACCCAAACCGGAGGCATCACATCCGGTCTTTGCAAATGATGGTTCATTTCTGGAAATCTTTAAGAAAATGCAAGATCAGCAACAATTACAGGTGAAACCATCAACCTCAGTGGCAGCTGTTGTGCCACCGGCAATTGTAAATCCTGTAGTGCCCATACTGGCTGCATCCTCTGTCAGTCCTGCAACAGCACCATATTTGGTGGCCACAGCCACTGGCAAAAGTGCACCTCCACCGCCGATTGTGGGACGCCGCAAAGGTGGTAAAATTCTAAAAACCGGAGTGGTGGCCAAGCCAAAGGCCCAAACAGAAGTCAGTAATGATCCCAAGGATTTCTGGTCACTGTATTTGGCGGAAGTGAATAAATATAAAAACACAGCTTGTGAATCGGAGCAAGGCAATAGACCTCTAATTAAATAAACACAAAAAATAATCATAAAATGAACTAAGAATGCAAAGAACGAAGAACAAGAAATGAACTTGAAAAACATGAGTCTGTCTTTTTTTAGAAATGAACTGTGCATATATTTTTTTTTTACATTTTCGATTTATAATTTTTACCTAACCCACTCAATTTTCGGGTTATTTTTTCCAAACTTTTTTATTTTTCAATTGTGAATCTTGAAATATCCTTCCTATTCTTTTTGATTTCTCTTTCCTATTTCTAAGTGTAGTTTTTAAGTAGTTGTAAGATACATTTATATAACTATATAATACACGTATAAATTATATAATTATTATATATATGGTATACCACAAATTACACACACATACTCCCGTACTCAAGAAACTATAATATTTATTAGAAAAAGAAACTCCCCCAGTAGATGTTTTCAAATACAGACAGCCAATCAATAAACAACAATACAGCACCTGGAAGCCCAATCCACAATAAATAGTGACTTGAAAGCAAATAATCTACAAAAAAAAAAAAAAAACGAAAATTTCTTTTGTTATCGGAGAAGAGAGAAAAGTGAACAAAATTATTTTTGCCCGAACAAATTGTAGTCAATTTGTGGCAGGTTTTGGAGAAAAATGTGTGTTTTTTTATCAACAATTGAATTATTTTAAAAAGCTAAGTGGATAATGTAATTGTTCCAAGTGATATATAACAAATGATAACAAGTAAAGAAGCTACATATATTTCTTACGTGTAGTTCTCGGGCACCACGTTAACAAATCGCCGGTACGCAAGCCTCTTGATATTTTAACTTTTGTCGTACTCTAACACATGGTTAGGGTACCGGTACGCAACGAAATATAAAAAATAATTTCTTTCTTCCTTAATTCTATTCTTACGTCATAATCTACAATTTTTTTACATTTTTATACCCTCCACCATAGCATGGAGTTTGTCATTACGTTTGTAACACCTCGAAATATACTTTTTAGACCCCACAAGGTATATATATATATATATATATATATATATATATATAAAATATACATAAAATGCTATGTCGATTTAGCGATGTGTCCGTCCGTCTATGGAAATCACTCTAGCTTCCGAACGAAATGAAGTAGATTGATAAAATTTTACTCAAATGTATATTATGTCTGCAGGACTTTTGGTATTGAAAATGGGTCCTGTAGGTCTACGTTTTGGTATAGCCCCCATATAACGGTACCTCCCGATATTGGGTATTTTGATGCTTTTAGCGACATTATTCACCGGAATTGTTTCAAATTTGGCATTTGATGTTCGTAGTGAATGCTACAGCCTATGACAGGAGATTGACTGTTCAGGTCCACGTCTTCGTGGAGCGCCCATATAAGGGTACCTCCCGATATTCGATACTTCGTTGATTTTAACGACATTATTCACCCGAATTGTTTCAAATTTGGTATTTGATGCTCGTAATGTTTACTACAGCCTAAGACAGACAATTGTCTGTGCAGGTCCACGTCTTCGTGTAGCCCATAAAATATTCGGTATTTTGATGATTTTAAGCTACATTATTCACCGATTATTATTATTTAAGTTTCGCATTTGAATTGTATGTAATGGTTTATGACAAAAGTTGCCTATGCAGGTACACGTCGTCGTATAGACCCTAATATAACGGCTATATTCGGTATTTTTTAAGATTTTAACTGAATTTTAAACGTTTTTCATTTTTTGAAAATTACCAAATTCGTTCCAAATGTTGGAGGGTAATCAAGCATCAGCTTTTTTACTTGTTTTTTTTTCTCAAATGAAAGTCATTAAGTCAAAACTTTAAATATGTATGTGACATTTTTCTTTTCAACACTTTATTCATTAAAATTATAAAAGTGTTTTAGCGAGCGAAAACTTCGTAAATGAAGTTAAGTTTCGTTCATTTCCAGTGCTGCAGTATTATTTTGAAATCCACTGATTTTTGTTTGCTTTGGATTATGATCTCTCAGGCCTTGTTGGCTTTTATTTTATGTCCTCCACCATAAGTTGAAGGGTATATTAACTTTGTCATTCCGTTTGCACCACCACGTGGACAGAATAAATTTCTAAGTCCGGATAAATAAAAATAGTGATATTTGTAGTACCCCCCAAAGAGGTTTGGTATTGAAACTGAAATGTATACATAATGTATGCCATAATTTTTACAAAAGCTAAAAATGTCCGAAATAGCGAAATAGAATTGGTCACCTTTGGCACGAATTATGGCCTTCAAACTGCCAATGAAACCGTCACACGCTGCGGTGTTTTGGTCCATTCCAGGCGAAGCGCTTGCTTGAGGTGATCGACACTTTGTTATTTTTTAGTGCCAACCTTGCTTTCCAAAATACTCCAGACACAATAGTCTAACGGATTGATATCCGGAGATTTTGGTGGCCATTCTGCGCTGGAAATGAAGTGAGGAACCTCATTTTGTAACCATTCTTGGGTTTCGCGTGCTGAGTGCGATGTTAATGAGTCCTGTCGGAATGTCCAAGGTTTGCGGCCAAAATGTTTGCGTGCCCAAAGCTTTAATACACCCTCCAGAATATTTTAGCGATAATATTCGGCATTTATTCTGATGCCACGGTCGATTAATACGAGCGGAGAGCGACTATCGGCTGTTATGGCGGCCCACACCATTACCATGGCCAACGCTTGAGTTCTGGTGGCCAACCGAAGGTGCACATTTTCAGCTGACCTCTTTGGCAAGTAAACAAGATAATTTTCATGGTTTACAAATTGCTTAAGAGCGAATGTTATCTCATCGGAGAAAACCAAATTCGGTAGTTCACCACTTTCGGCCAGGAGAAGTAACTCCTTAGCTCTTTTGGGTACATTTTTTTTCTGTTGCGGTGTAAGTTCTTGCACTTTTTGGAATTTCAATGGCTTTACCCCGAGCTCATTTTTTAATATTTGCGAATGGAATATTGCGATACGTTCAGCTCACTAGCCATTTTTCGGCCTCTGCCACGCGGGTGTCGATCAAGTCGCTTCTTTACTTTTCGAACCATTTCTGCTGATGTTGCTGTTTTCTTCCGTCCACTTCCTTGACGTCGGGCTACGCTACCAGTATCACGGTAACGAGCGATGGTATGAGACACAAAAGATTTATTCACATTTAAATGCTGGAGTGCTCCAACGATAGCCACTTGTGGTTTTCCAGCCAAATGTAAAGAAATCACACTATTACATTGAATTCCGTCACGGAAATTCTCACCAAAATCCTTTTGTATGCTTGCAAACAATATAATGAGCTGTCACTGTAATAATTTTAGCAACTGTTGGACTAGTGGCTTCGAAATGACAGCAGTCTGAAGATGGTTGCAGTTTTTATACCCTCCACCTTGGAAAGGAGGGTATATTAACTTTGTCATTCCGTTTGTAACATCCTTAAATATTCGTCTTAGACCCCATAAAGTATATATATTCATAATCAGCATAAAATTCTAAGTCGATTTAACGATGTCCGTCTGTCTGTCTGTCCGTCTGTCTGTCTGTCTGTTGAAATCACGATACAGCCCACATTATTTGACGTAGAGCTTCAAAATTTAGCAGAGCTATTTGCATTGTGTCTAGGATGGTTGGTATTGAAAATGAGATATATCGGTCCACGTTCTGGTATAGTCCCCATATAACGGTACCTCCCGATATTCGGTATTTTGATGATTTATGCCACGTTTTTTCACGGATTTGTCTTAAAATTGGTATTTGTAGGTCATAGCAGGTCCCTGAGCGTGTGGCAAAACATTGCATGTATGGGTCCAAAATTTGGTATAGCCCCCATATAACGGTACCTCCAGATATCCGGTAATTTGATGATTTTTGCAACATTTTCTCACGGATTTGTCTGAAAATCGGTATTTGTTGGTCATAATTGGTTCCAGCTTCGGTAGCGAAACATTGCATGCATGGGTCCATTATTTGATATAGCCCCCATATAAAGGTACCTCCCGATATTCGGTATTTTGATGGTTTTTGCCACATTTTTTCACTGATTTGTCTAAAAATTGGTATTTGTGGGCCATAATGGGTCCTAGTTCGTGTGGCGAAACATTGTAATTATAGGTCCACGTTTTGGTGTAGCCCCCATATTACGGTACCTCCCCATAATCGGCATTTTAATGGTTTTTGCCACATTTCTTCTAATGTTTATTTTACCCTAAGGTGGAGGGTATTAAAAGTTTGGCCCGGCCGAACTTAATGTTTTTTTACTTGTTTCATCTCACATTTTAGAATTCTGACTTGCTTCGGTATAAAATATAAATGAATGAATATTTGTCCTATATGCGATAGTGGATGCATTGAATAACTCTCATAGCAGAGTGTTAAAAAATAGTTATTCTTATTGATGGAAATCTCTCTTTTTTAAAATCGCCACATATTACATAACATCAATATCCTCAATACACTGAGAAAATAAGAAAGGAATCTAATGTTTGATTTACTATTCTACAAATAGACCGGTTTATTTTATGTGATGATACATCACATTTCTAGTTTTAAGTGATTTAGTGATACGTGGTGCAGTAATGAAAGAACGCATTAGAAAAATTCAAAAATGATATAAAAAATGTAGAATGATTTAAATAAAAACCATATGAGAACTTACTCTGTTTTAATTTATTTACATTAGTATCTGTTTATACTAACATCAACTGATTCATGTCAGAGTTTCAGAATCGAATTTATATTGTTCAATCCAATTTCGTAATATTTTAATTGTAAACAAATGTTGCCACCTATCTAATCTCACAACGATTCTGCAATTCTGATTTATGTAACAAGACTATCTGCCAATCTAAATTAGATTCATAAACTAATAATAAAATGTCTTTGTATTTACTTATTTTTCCCATCTTTGCTTAACAATAATTGCAATAAAATTTACATACATCTCTCAAATCCCATTAAAAATGCTTGTCAACGGAAAATTCAAAAAACTAACCTCATTTGGACGCTGTGCGTGTGTGTGTGCTTGTCCCCAATTCATTGTGTCAAAACAATAAAGCTATATCCATTGCATTATTTATAGTCCCTTATACATAAAGTTTGTATTATTAATTTTACAACATTTCAAATTTCCATGTCATCGAAAAAAGGCAACACTACAAACATGACTAAATTGGAAACCGCTCCTTTTGATCCACGTTTCCCCAACCAAAACGTGACCCGTTACTGCTACCAATCCTATGTGGATTTCCATCGCTGCCAGAAGAAACGTGGTACCAACTACGAACCCTGCAATTACTTCAAGAAGGTCTTCAACTCCATGTGCCCCAATGCCTGGGTTGAAAAGTGGAACGACCAAATCGACAGCGGCACCTTCCCCGGCAGAATCTAAATTCTTCAGTATTGGTTAAATTGCTGTGCAGAAGAAGACACTTCTAATGAACACCTAGCTTTGTAACTGTCGTCTATTGTTATTGCAATCCACAAAATTACCATGAATTGTGAATTCTAATTTAAAATAAAACAAAGAAAAAAAAAACAAACAAAACGACAAAAAGTTCATTTAAATTTTGAAAAAGAATGTAGCGAATTCGCAAATCCATAAATTTAATTTCTAAAACATTATAATAATGCTTTGTTGCAAATTCCAATAAAGAGAGGCTACACTTGATAATGTAGTTAATCAAGTAAATAAATGTGTGTCCATTACACATAAAAATACACATAGCAGAAGGCCAAATCGTTTGAAAGGTTTGTATGTTCCTCAAAAATTTTTCGGGGTGATTGAGTTTTCAAACTGGGAATTGGTTTTTTTAACAATTTTTTTCACTGAGATAGAACGTTTTGATATAAGGGGGTTATTTTTTAATACCATTAGCCATATTGGTTTTGTTTCGGTTTAACAATGCGCAGCTACACGAATTCGGCAAGTGCTTCACTTGGCGACCTTTGGTCCATGGTGAAATGAAAAATTTAGGTAGAGAGACGAGAAGAAGAAGATATTTGTAAGAAGTGTAGTTGGGATGCCTTTGCAAACTTGTAAATGATGATGGGATCTATGTTTCAGAAGAACGTTCGAGTTTCTATCTCTCTCCTGCCAAATAACCTATGTCTCTTGTTAGATAACATGGCACATCTGCATAGTACGTGTCCAATTCTCTCTACTTCTTCTTCATCTTCACATGGTCTACAATAGTCAGGAACACTGTTGTCCCATCTTGAGGTCAGATACCTGATACTGCAGTGACCGGTCAGTATTCCCACCACGATTTATGTATCAGGCCTACTATGTTATAAAAGGGAGCTTGTTTTTCTTGAAATTATCCGCCAGATGGCCTTAGATACCCTGTGACTAAGAGTTTTTTAAGAAGCTATTATATTGTTGTTTAAAATGTTTCATTAATCGGTATATAAATCGAATGATATTTGCCTCAAACTAACTCATCAGCCACGTCTTTCCCTACTGTATTGATGGAACCCAACAGATTAGGGATTGGTTTTTAATATAAGGGGTTCATTTTACGCCTTAGTTAAGGTCCATTCTTGAAATCTGGAATTGCCACCAGTTAGTTATCGAAGCATTGTTGCTTAACACTACTTGAGTCTACGAGCTTAATTGTTTTTCTCTACAGTTCTAAAACCAGTAAGGAAAAGTCAAAAGTCGGACGGGGTCGACTATATGATATCCTACACCACTATACATATTTAGTAGAGCTCCCGTAACAAACGAAATTATTTGAAGTAGATCATACCACCGATCAACAATTGGCTTTAGAGCAGTTATAGTTTGATTTCAGAGGAAACTAATATATGGGAGGCATATCCAATTCTGAATATCCATATTATGTTTTTATGGGACTTTAACACCAAATCGGATGAACTTGCTTCTAGACTGAATTCGCTTGGATGTACCAAAATTCAGGACGTTTGGGCTGATATTGGCCATTTGGTGCACCATTAACCCGAAATCGTTTGAAGATGGGAGCTAAGTCCAAATCTGAACCAATCTTGATAAAATTTGGCAGAGGTATTTCCGAGCTCTATAAGATATCAGGTATCAAATATCATTGTTGTCGAATGCATATTACGAATGTGAGGGACTTAAACACCAAATCTGATAAAACATATATATGGCAGCTATAGCTATATCTGAACCGTTTTTTACAGAATTTGATGTTGCTTGCTTTTAGACTGATTCCGGTCGAATATGCCAAAATTCAGGTCATATGGACTGATATTGACTATTTGGTTCACAATTAACCATTAATCGTTTGTAAATATATATGGGAGCTATATGTAAATCTGAACCGATCTTGATACACTTAGCTGTATCTGATATTTGGTACCGAAGAGCATTGTTGTGGAATGCATATTACGCCTGTGAGGGTCTTTAAACCCAACATCGGATAAATCATATATATGAGAGCTATAGCTATAACTGAACCGATTTTGACCATGTAAATGAAATGTACAGAATGAATTCGCTTGGATGTGCCAAAACTCAGGTTATTTGGACTGATATTTTTCAGTTGGTGTGCAATTAACACGAAATCGGTTGAAGATATATATGGGAGCTATATCCAAATCCGAGCCGATCTTGATACAATTTGGCAGAAGTATTTACGAGGTCTGTAAGATATCTGGTACCTAATATCATTGTTGTCGAATGCATATTACGAACATGTGGTATGTAAACATCAAATCGGATGAAACACATATATGGGAGCTATATCTAAACCGATTTTCACCAAATTTGATGTACTTCTGCTTCTACACTGAATTCAGTTGGATGTGCCAAACTTCGGGTCGTTTGGACTGATATTGACCATTTGGTGCAAAATTTACCCGAAATCGGTTGAGGATATATGGGAGCTATATCTAAATCTGATCCGATTATCACCAATTTCAATAGGGTTCGTCCTTGGGTTAAACAAATATTGTTTGCAAAATTTTATCTCAATCGGATAATAAATGCGACCTGCATTATGTTCACAAGAATACATGGACAGGCAGGCGGACTGACATGCATTAATCGACTCAGAAAGTGATTATATGAAGATCCTCAAAAGCAACAAACAAATGCACAAAGACATAATACCCTTGCCACCATGTGGTATAGGGTGTAAAAATCGTAAAGCATCTTTCCCCTTTATGTCAATTCCATAAGCTATGTAACACAGTAAAGAAATTCCTGCTTCAATCGCGGGATTTAGTTAGCTTTTTTATAGACAAAGACTATTTGAAAATTTGTACTATTACGCATTTTTGATTTTTATTTTCAATATATATCCTCAGTTTTCTAATACACAATAACGATCATTTCTGCGTTCGAGTTTGGCTTAACATTTTGGTTTTGTATTTCTTGATATGCTACTCTGCCTTATCGCTTATTGAGAACCCAGTTTTGCCTTCTCATTATGTAATGTTATGCCTCTCTGCAGAGGAATACTAACATTTTATATTTAATTCCAAATTTAAGGACGATAGTGAGTTAATCAATCGCCAGGGGTGTTTGTCTAGGGTCTGCAAGGATGTTACGCATTGTAAATTGTTGTTGTTAAGCCATAGCTTCGCTTCATGTTTATTATGCTTGATGTGGAATAACGACAAGGGGTCATATGCGATCTGGTACCTCCATAAAAAAATATTTAATAATTTTATATATATTCACATTGGGTTCCCTTCCTATAGCAATTCGGCACCTGTTTTTTACAATCGGCCCTATTACGGTTATCGTCGTCGTCGCAAAATGAAGTCGAGGCGACAATAATGATATTACGGTTGTCGTTTTTTGTCGATTGCGACAAATAGTTGCCATTATCATTGTCGATACAACAGTCGACGTGAAGTCGATATTTGAGAATATCTGTCGCCGTAAAAATTTGTGACGACATTGTATTTTTTGGTCGACGTTGATATTGTAACCATTTTGTATTTGATATTTGACCATGAAAATAACAACAGCAATTTAAAATTTTGGTTACCGAAAAAACATGCTTGGCAAACGGGTTTACGAAAAGTTATGTTCCAGCAAATTTTAAATCAGATTGGGAATCCATTGCTACAAAATTAAATGTAAACGGGCCTCCGATTAGAGAAAAGTATGTTAAAGTTAAAAATTATTTTTGTATGTTTTTATTAATTAGTTTTCTTAAATTCTTTTAGGTTTAGAAAGATTTAAAATTTAAAACTAAAAAACTAATTCTGCACAATAAGGGCGAAGCCAGCAGTACTGGAGGTGCCATTTTTAAGCAAATGACTTTGTCACCTTGGGAGGAGTCTGTCGCGAATGTAATGCAGTTTCAAAAGTTACTGAATCCGCCAGGTCGTGCACTTGGAATAGAAAATACGAAAAACTAATGAGGAGACTGATGTAACTATTATTGAAGCTTCTCTATCGCCCAGAAAAAACCATCGTAAAAAGTCATCAAGGAAAGAAGAAACTATTGAACTCTTGAAAACTTTTGGAACAACACAATCAAGAGTAAGGCAATGCAAATATGTTTGTTTGCTGCCACTGCTAATACATTCTCCTTTCCTCCTCACTTGAACTTAAGATATGTAACGCATTTATAATATTCATTTTTTCACAATATTTTTTCCGAAAGAGACAAAATTAGAATTCAAAATACAAACAAATTTCTTATCTTTTTTGTCAATAACAAGGGAGTGTTGCCAAAGTTTTTTAAGTTGTTGCCAACTTTTATTTTAAACTGTCGATGTCGCTTCTATGCCTTACCGTAATACCATTTTTGAATCGAAGCGACGGCGAGGGCGACTTGCACATAAAGTCGACGACGACTATTGATGCGACAACCGTAATTGGGCCGAATGTATTGCAGCAAAAGATAAAACAACAAAGGTCAAGTGGTTGTAACAACTGCACACTGGTAGGTATGTATATGTATATTTACAAATAGGTAACTTCTTTTTCCAAGGAATATAGTTTAAGATGCTTTCCCCAGATTAATATCAGGATACAATACAACAAAATAGCTACAAATTAGAAAAGGGATTATAAGGAAACTTCATATTTCGAAAAAAGAAGAAATATGAACTAGTTTTCTTATAACATACAAAATTCTAATAATAAATACATATTTCTGGCAAATTTGCAATCGGATGGGAAAATAAAACCGATGTAATAACAAAAGGAATTACAAGTAGTTTGAAATAACACCTCGAGGTTACTATTAATCACATGAGCCATCTAGCCAGCCATCCCTCCATCGTTCGTTCACCTTGCTGCAATCAAACTCGGGTTTGCCTAATTTGACATTGACTCGATTGTGGAACTGACACAGCCATTGTGAGAAGTCCTTTTGAGAATTAACTTGGACCGGATTTTCTCGAAGGCTACAAAAATAAAATTAGAAAAGTTATTGTTTCAAAAACTATTCAAACAATTGCATCATCCACTCTAACATACTCTTTACGAAAATCTTGAGCACAATATTCGCAGGGATAGAGACGTGATAAGACATCGAAAAAAGTTTTGACATCCTTCTTTTGATTATCTGTGGGATTATCCGAATAGAATGCCGCCATGGTGTGTAATAAGCCCCATGTCGACTGGCCCAGACGCGATTTATCTAAAGGGCAATCTTCACGCGGCATATTAGTATCCTTGGTACCGCCATCTCCACCAGCCTTTGCTGCATCTTTCTACAAATAGGGAAAACAAGGAAACATGAATTGTCATTCTTTAACCAAGAAAGTACAAGTGCTTACATCAGTTGCCTTCTGAAAAATGTGCCTTTGTTGTTTTGACCATGATTTGAAATCGGTACAGGTGCGACAATTGCTATCCGGTTTAGTTGGGGTTCCATAGGCATCATAACTAGCCATTTTTGTAATTTATTGTCGGTTTAATTTAGCAATTTCTGGAAAATTTGCGAAAAGTCGTCCAAGTGCGGCCGGGATGAATAGATCAAGAACAGCTGATCAATGTTGTCAATTGAGAAATGTCAGGTGAGCGGATAACGGCGGCGAGTGATTTTATTTCGACGGCGGTGGTTGCGAAACGTTTGACAATAGCACGTTTACATTTGCATATTTTTTTACTTTTTTCAGTGGTATGTAAACAGCACAGTATGGACGCTATTATTCATGGCAGAAGAATACAGGTAGATGCATTAACGCTTGGGAGCATTGATACGTCAAAAAAACTTAAATGTTTTTTTCAAATATAAGTAGATTTTTATATATTTTCTTATGCTACGTCATTCGGGGGCTATTATAAATCGCGTTTTTCAACAATTTTTACAAATTTAAATAATTTTTCATTCAACATTTTCAATTCCAAAATTGGTTTGACAGTTCATTGTCACAGCAGCTGTGTCGACCCGTCTACCTATATTCATCTACCATGCTATTATTCTTTTAATTGCGTTGCTAAAGTTAAAAATTCTTGCACGAAAAACTTTATTTACCGTTTATAAGCCAAGGTATAATATAATTAACCATGGCCTAATATAATAAAACATGGTATAACTATTACAAAGTAATAGCGGAGTGGATGTTTTGGGAATCGTAAAAGAAGTGGCAATGTTATTACTACGAAATATAAAATGTCAATAAATTTTATTGTTATATTCATGGTAGAACTAAGAAGGCAACGTCATGCAATCATATACAGGTTTTAGCAGTTTTTATTTGCTTAACCCGTATTAATTCAACCAGAGCGGGTTTATACTATTGAAAGTTACCCACTAGGTTCAATTGATCTACCCGATAAATCTTGTGAGGAGGACATATATGCAGATCAAAGTTTAAAACCATGTTACAATGAAGAAGGTAAAGTCATACCATCATTTAATGATGTCGGATAAAGATATATATGGAAGCTATATCCTAATCTGAACCGATTTCGATAAAATTTGGCATACGTATTTTCACCAGATGCCCGGTACCAAATATCATTCTTGTGTAGTGCATATTACGCATGTGGGGGACTTAAAACCTAAATCGGATGAAACATATATATGGGAGATATAGCTATATCTGAACCGACTAACACAAAATTTGATGTACTTACTTCTCAATTCGGTCGAATGTGCCAAAATGCAGGTCATTTAGACTGATATTGGTCACTTGGTGATATTGGCCGAAATCGGTTGAATATATATATGGGAGCTATATCTAAATTTGAACCGATTCATTTCAATAGGGTTCGTCCTTGGGCCAAACAAATATTGTTTGCAAAAAATTTTATTTCAATCGTATAATAAATGTGACCTGCTGACCTCCTTCATGGACGGACGGACTGACATACATACACTGGTGGCCAAAACTAAAGCAACTGAAATTACAAGGAGAATGAATGCCCTGTAACTTTTTCAAAACTTAAGAAAATGAGAAAGTTTTTCTTGTTTTAAATTAGGTACTTTATTTGCTTTTTAAAAACCTAAAACAAAAACCAAAATTATTTTTTATATAATGTTTGTTTAAATAATGTTTGGTAAAGTCAATTAACCCGATTTTGGCTTGGACAAAACAAAAGCAATTCTGTTGTACATTCATATAACCGCTGCAATTTCAGTTGTTTTTACTGTGATATTTATCGCTTTTTGCTTCCTTCGACAATTTCGCTTGTCATAAATCCTTTTTGAGAAGTTTTTTACAACAGTATGTGTTTTTCTTTTCGTTTTTTAAGTACTGGCCAAAAAAGTTTAAAAATAGCTAGAAGCAAATACAGTACCTGAATAAAACAGCATATTATCAGTAACTATGAAAACAATATATCACAAAAAATGATTTCCGAGAAATATTTCATAAATATGTATGTGATTTCATAATTATTTCTGTATACTAAGTCGGTGTTTTGAAACTGGATCAGTAGTAACAGTCTATAACTGATGAAGGCCGTGAAAAACTTCAGCCCGTACTGATCCACAAATTGTGAGAGAAATTGTCTTTGCGATTTAAGTTGCTTTAGTTTTGGCCACCAGTGTAAATCGATTCAGAAAGTGATTCTATGAATATCCTCAAAAGTAACTATGGGTCTATCTAGCTTCCTTCTCCATGTTACAAACAAATGCCCAAAGACATAATACCCTTACCAATTTGTGGTGTAGAGTATATAACTATTTTTTTTTAATATTTTTGTTTTTATTTAATTTTACTCAAATTCATTATTAGTTTTCAAAGCATAATGTTTTTTTTTTTTTTTTCAATAAACTTGACAAAAAATGCTGTGCACTTTTTCCACTTCAGCCGTATGACAACATAGTTTGTTTCAATCCATTCTAAAGAAAAATAGTAAAGCACGCTTGATACTATTGCAGCATAAACAGGTGACATCAATGTCTACATAAATAACCCCAATCGATTCACAAGAGTCTACGTCATAGTTAAGCAACAACTTTCCTTCCGTGCTTTCGTGAAAAAACGAAGGCAAAACATATGAAACACGAGAGAACAAGCTACGAAATTACTTCGTTTAATATTTTTCCATTTAACCCATCAAATTGTCGTGTTCTTCTTCTTGCCTTTCATACCCTCACTTTAAAAGACAACAAAACGGAAACCAACAAAAATGTTTGGCTATTTTGCTTTATCAAGTTTTACTACTGTTGCAAAGGATAACAATAACAAATGCAATGCGATAGAGATATAACAGTAGATTTTATGCGAGCGAGCACCTGTAACACATGTTCTCTGTTGTGAATAGTTCAAATGGTTATAGGGTTGCCATTGGGGTAATTTATTAAACGGGGAAACGTTTGTAAAAACTCACCAAAACGTGAAACCAAGAGAGGGAGAAACATACTCTTCTCATTGTTTAGTGGGTTGTTTTAGGAAATTCTGGCCAGCAACTATAAAAAATTCTAATGTCTCAGTCGCTACAGGACTACTTTTCTACATAAAATCAAAATGAAAATAACACGGAGAAGGAAGCGAGATCGAAGCCATAGTTACTTTTGAAGATCTTCATAGAATCACTTTCTGAGTCGAATTATGCATGTCAGTCCGTCCGTTTATCCATTTTTGTGAACGAAATGAAGCTCTCATTTATTATTCGATTGAAAGTTTCCAAACAATATTTGATTGGCCCAAGGACGACCCTATTGAAGTTGATGACAATCGGTTCATATTTCGATATAGCTCCCATATGTATCAGGTTTATTGTGCACCCAATGACCCATATCAGTCAAATTGACCTGAATTTTGGTACATACGACCGAATTCAGTCTAGAAGCAAGTATATCAAATTTGGAATTGAAAATGGGTTCGCATATAGCTATAGCTTCCATATATATATGTTTCATCCGATTTGGCGTTTTAAGACCCCCACATGCGAAATATGCGCTCCGCAAGATTAATATTTGGTGCCAGAAATCAGACACAGCTCAGAAATAAGTGCTTAAAATTTTGTCAAGATCGGTCCAGATTTGGATATAACTCCCAAATATCTCCTCAGTCGATTTTGGGTTAATTGTGCGCCAAATGGCCAATATCTGTCCAAAAGTCCTGATTTTTTGGTACATCCGACCGAATTCAGTCTAGAAGCAAGTATATCGAGTTCGGAGAAAATCGATTCATTTATATGTTTCATCATCCATATATACATATGTAATAAGCATTCGACAGCAATGATATTTGGTACCAGATATCTTATAGAGCTCAGAAATACCTTTGCCAAATTTTATCAAAATCGGTTCACATTTGGGTAAAGGTCCCATATATATCTTCTAAATATGCATATTGGGTATCATATAGTCGATATTAGGTATCATATAGTCGATATTAGGTATCATATAGTCGGCCCCGCGCCACTTTTGACTTTTCCTTATTAGTTCTGACCTCTATGTGTTTTTTTAAAAAATCACCCGATATTAGTCACAATTTAAAATGTCTTGTTTTGAATAAACAATTTCTTGCACATTGGCAACCCTGATGGCATGCTGTACCTGCACTCGTCGCTGCAACAGCATTACTACTGTAAACCTGTTGTGATGGTGGTCGTTTTGTGGCACGATAGTCAGCTGGGTCTCGGCTTCCCCTCTGCTGGTGGTGAATTTCAACGCACACACACAAAGCTTTTCGCCAACCCTCCACCCATCACCATCAAGTGGGCAATGTTAATGTCATAAGGCAAGCTTTATTCCTTGTTCAAAGGAAAATCAAACACAACTATAACAACAACAACAAAATATGTTTCGTTAAAAAGCTTTTCGGGTTTCCTTGTTGATGGTGTTGAATAAATGTTAATTCAGTCTTCGTGAGGTTCTAGACGTGTTAACAACATACTGGCCGCATTAGACAGGACGAAACGCGTTTTTCAACCACTTGAAGTTGAGGAAGTTACAAAAACATACACACACACACAAAAGAAAAGAAAAAAAAAACAAGAAAGAAAAATCAAAAAATAAAAAAAAATCCAAAGAAAGGAAAAGTTACTAAATTGATCTAAAAAAAGTGATTTGGGGGGAGATAATGTCAAAATGTTGCAAAATTATTGTGATGGAACAGCAATGGTGAGGGGAATGAATCCAAAATTTAATTGAGAAGAAGAAGAAATACAGAAATTCAATAAAAAAAATTAAGTGAATTACAAAACAAAAAATATCTTATATAAGCTCTTTACTACTTTTGAAAGCTAAATAACAAAAACCGTTTATACATAGTTATAGACGTTGTATGTCGTTGTTGTCATCGTCATCATCATCGCCATCGCCATCGTCAACATCAACAGCACAAGCACCGTAGCACCGTAGTAGTCGTTGTCGTGATAGTCGTTGTTGTTCTTGTTGTTATTATTATTAACGTCGCGTCGTTGCTGTTGTTGTCGTCACCGTTGTTGTGTGCTCGTAAATGTTGCCGTTGCTTCATCTACTGTATCGTTATAGCGCGATGATAAAAGTGGTAGGGCCCACCAATCGCGTGTGTGTCAGTGTGCCACTAAGCCAACCAGCAAAGAAGCAAAGCAAAAATAAAACATAAACAGCACTTAAGGATATTTTAACAAAACAAACCAAAAAAATAATAATAAACCCAATACCTTGGCAAAATGAAAAATTTGCCTCTGTTATTTGTTTCCATTGAGTTCTTTTAAGGGCCAGCCACTGCAATAAAAATATTTACACAAACACACACTCATAAAGTGGAGAAACAAAAATAACGAAAAATATATACGCAAACTAAAATAAGCTATAACAGCACAATTTAAACCAGCCATTATTCATGCCGTCTAAACGGAACTATGTCGTTTTCTTCTTTACTTTACCTAACTAACTCAACTCGAGACTTGAGTCCCTTTTAATAGAAACATTGCCATCACCACCACACCATACTTTGCCTTAATATTTGTGATTGAGTACTCTCACGCATACTAACGTAAATGCATTATTACCTGTTCTAATTAGAAAATATTACGAAGACGATAACGATGATTGTTGAGTTTAAGTGTTTAACGGTTTAAAAGAAATAAAGAAAGAGCGAGAGAGAGAGAGTGAATAGCAATATATACATCAAATCAAAGGAAATAATATCTACTCTCCGTTACTCTCACTACTACTTATACTCATTTAAAATAATGATCCCAGTAGTTAAGTTCACCTGATATGCATAGAGAGAGAACATAAAGCAGTTTAAGTTACTCTCTGTTATTGATACCCTCACTCCCATACTCAGTGTCATAGAGTAATGATCTCAAGAGCAATACTGTAAACAAGGAATTTTTTTGTCGATGTGTAAATGTGAAATGCCCAAAAAATAAAACAAAGTAATTTCGTAAATAAAACTGGAAAAAATATTAATATTATTAACATAAGTAATATAAAAATTTAATTAAAATTAAGGAAAACCAATCGAAAAATCTAAATAAAATTAAGTGTGATTTAAAATATTCAATTACCAACAAATAACACAACTAAATCAAATTAAAAAAGAAAATAAATAAAAATAAAAAATATACACAAAAATCTCACTAAAATATAAAACGCAAAAGAAACTAAAATCTAAGCAATATAAATACGTAGTATATACAAATAAATATATTCCATAGAGCTGAGTATTTTTTTCTAAAGCACCATTTGTTCGTTAAAATCCACACACACAAACATAGATAAGTGTATAAGTTTATTAGCAAAAAAGTGTTTCTTCTAGACCTTTAGAAAAATAAATAAAAACCCCAACAACAAAAAAGTGACCCCCCTCCCCCAACATAAGAAAGTAAAACACATCAATTAACTACAAGAAAAATAAATATAAAGTAAATCAATCAATCATTAAATTACCTCAAACAAACTAGGATTCTATGTAACAATGTTTTTGGAACTCTTCTAAGGTAAATACGATATTTTTTTTTTATTCTTATAAAGGAATTTCCGGCAAAGGAAACGGAAGAGGTTTTAAACAAATAACAAAAAATTAAAAAAGAAAAAGTATTGTATTAAGTGGTAGGTAAGGTACTGTGCAAAAAAAAAAAAACAGAAATGCCTTTTGGTGAAATTAAGGCAGCTTGTGTTGGGAAATTTGTACTAAAAGGGTACGAAACGTACTAAAAACTGAATACGGAATGAGTAAGTATTCTGAAATTTAAAATGAGATTAACTGATGGAGTTCAGGATGGATGTACCAAATTCGACCTTTTGGAAATTCGAACTTTAAGGTTACCAAAAGTTTTAAAATAGTACTAAACTTCTAAAATAATGCAATTAGGTACTTACTCAGATAGAGCTAAAAACTTTAAATTTGATGTGAGAATCAAGGTTGGAAAGTACGTTTGAAATATGAAGGTGGTTCTGAAAATGTGTACTAAGTGTGCGAACTGTACTGGTAATAGTACTAAATTTAGACCAGTTCGGTTTAGGATGAACGGATGAAGCTGGAATTTTAAAATTTTGTATTGAGGTCGATGTTGGTGGTAGGTTTGTGATAAAGAGGTGGTTTTAGAAATATGTATTACACGTGGAAGAAAGGTATTAAATAGTACTATATTTGGAAAAAATTTGTATTGGGTAAACATATAGTGCTTGAAATCAGATTTTTGGTATTAGGGTTGCTTTTAATAGAACAGTGTGGCTTTTAATAGAACAGTGTGGCTTGTTTGTTCGGGATACCGTAGTATTTTGTTGTTGCAAAATGGTCAGGCTTTATCCCTTTTTTTGTTGTTTATAAAAACAACGTTTGTTTATTAGTGGAGAACGATGGTAATGTTTACCAGGGGGTAAGGCAGGGTAAACCTAGGTTTCGGAAAGAGCCACCAATCCTCATCAGTTCCCTTGTTTTTTTGTCTGGGATATTCTCCCCAGAAATTATTTTAAAAATAACTTCTATGACAAAAAACATTTTTTACCCAAGTGACGAGATCGTAAGCTCAATAGAAGAGGAACCAAAGAATTAAATAAAACTAAAATTCTTTTGGAAAGTCTTCTAAATCTTACAACCGCACTTATAAACATTTACATCTTTCTCCACTTGTTATGCTTTCGTTCAACTTTTGAAAATTTGTGCCCTATTTGTACGAAAAGTACTAAATGGTACTATATTTGGTATTGGGTAAATGGATCGAGAAAAAATTCTGAAATTTGATATTTAGATTATTGATGGTATCTGTGTTTGAGATTTGGCGGTGGTTGGGAAATGCGTCCTATATTTGTTCGAAAAGTACTAAGTGCTACTAAATTTGGTATCGGGTGAAGGAATAGAGCTGAAATCCTGAAATTTGATTTCGATGTCACAGTTAGAGTCAGTGGTAAAGATATGGAGGTGGCTTCGGAAATGTGTACTATAATTGTTCGAAAAGAACAAAATTTTACTAAATTTGGTATCGGATGTAAGGATAGGGCTTTAAATTTGATATTAAGGTGTCTGGAATAGAGATATGGAGGTGATTTTAAAAAGGAGTGCTACAATTTCACGAAAAGTACTAAATAGTACTTTATTTGGTACTTTTTGGTATTGGTTGAACACATAGTGCTTGAAATCTGAAATTTAGTATTAGATTGTTTAGCCTGGACATATGGAGGTATTTTCGGAAATGTGTACTATAATTGTACGAAAAATACTAAATAGTACTAAATTGGGTATCGAGTGAATGCATACAGAAGAAATCTTGAAACTGGATACAGATATCACTGTTAGTGTCTGTGGTTAAAAGATATAGGTGGTTTTTGAAATGTGTACGATAATTGTTCGAAAAGTACTAAATGGTACGAAATTTGGTATTGGCTGGAGGGATAGGGCTGGAATCCTTCAATTTGATATTGAAATCTAGTGAAATTTAATATTCCTATAGCTGTTGATATTTAGTATTGAAATGTGGAACGGTTTGCAAAGGAGTACAAAAACTTCACGAAAAGTATTGAATGCACTCTCTGTTGGCATCTGGGATGAGATCTGGTGGTGATTTTGGAAATGCTTATTATAATTGTTCGAAACGTACTAATTGGTGTCTGGGATGGAGAGATGTAGATTGTTTGGATATGCGTACTAAATGTTACTACATTTGGTAGCAGATACTTCTAAATAATTTAAGATTCTGACTCCATTAGACATTAAAAAATATTTTAAAAGTGTAATTATTTTCTGAAAAAATGTCCAAGATTGTGGATATGTGGTCCTTGAATACAATTTTAAACAAAAAATCCGTAATTATCATGCGGTTGGTTTTTAAAAAAATATATTTTAATATCCATGATAATGGCTCTTTGGCCATTGAATAATATTCTCGAGTTTGGCTTTGTTAGTCCTCTAAAAATATTTTTAACAAATCCAAGGTTTATGCTTCTGTTAGTCCTTGAGAAACATCCACGAGTGGGGATCTCTTAGCGTTTGAAAAACATTTTTAAACAATTCACTTAAAAAAATATCCACGACTTTGGGTCCATTGCCCGCTGAAAATATATTTTTAAATACAAATCTAAATATGTATTTAAAAATCCACAATTTGCTTCTGTAGGCCCTTAAAAACTATCCACGATTGTGGCTCTGTTGGTACTTGAAAAAATATTTTTATTTTTCTTTCCTGATACAATTTTTATATTTGTATGTATTTTTAAAACATCCAAAATTTTGTTTCTTTTAGCCAACAAAAAACCTCGAGTGTGGATCCATTGGTCCTTGAAAAATATCTTTTAAAAAATCCAAAATTGTGTTCCTCGATTGTGGTTCAGTTGATCCATGACTCTATTCCTCGATTATGGCAATGCTTGTCCTCGAAAAATATTTTTAAAAAAATCCAATGTTATGGATCCTTGAAAAAACTGAGATTGTGGCTCTGTTAGTCCTTTAAAAATATCCATGGTTGTTGCTCTGTTGGACCTTGAAATCAAATTAAAAAAAAATACATAATTATGGAAAAAAATTATCTACGACTTTGGTCTTTGAAATAGTAGTTAAAAAAATCTAGGGTTGTCTCTTTTAGTCTTTGAAAAATATTCCCGATTGGGAAAAAATAATGGTCCTTTATTTTTTTTTATCGAAAATTGTGGCTCTCTTTGTTTCTGAAATTGTAGTTCATAACATTCATGACTCTATTCTTGATTACGGCTCTGTTTGTCCTCAATAAAATATCTTAAAAAATCCGTTGGTAGTAGTTTAAAAAAATTGAGGTTCTGGCTCTGTTAGTTCTTTAAAAATATTCACTATTGTGGTTCTGTTGGTCTCCGGAAAATATTTTTTAAAAATCCACGATTATGACTCCATTGGTCATTGAAAACTAAGTTTTAAAAAAATCCATAATTATGTCTCTGTTGGTCCTTGAAAAATATCAACGATTGTGACTCTTTGGAAAAATATTTTTGAAAAATCAAAAAATTTTGCCATCGGAAAAATATCCTCGACTATGGCAGCGTTGGTCCTTGAAATAATAATTTGAAAAAAAATCCAAGAGTGTTGCTTTGTTAGTCCTTGAAAAATATGTAGATTGTGGCTCCATTTTTCTTTAAAATATATATTTAAGTATAAATACAATCGTGTTTTGGTTTATCCTTGAAAAAATATTTATAAATAAATATAGGATAAGTTAGCTTTATTCCGCGGAATTTTTTTTTTTGAAAATTCACGATTGCGGCCCTACTATTTCGAAATAATATTTAAAAAATAAGCAATGTGCGGGGCCGACCATTTGATGCCCGACAATAATATAATATATTAGAAAGGACCCTTAGATCCAAATCTATTTGGATCAGTTTCAGTCTAGGACCAATATTTCGAGGTGTTACAAACTTTTTGCTCAATCAAACTTGTACTTCCGCTAACACATAGTTTGAAGGGTCTAAAACTATTCACGTTTTTTTTTTGGAACCGGATATTTAAATATCCAGAGAAATAGCCCTGTTGGTCCTTGAAATCTCTAAGATAATAGCTCAATTGAAGTTCATAGAAATCCCCCAATTATAGGTATGTTGTTCATTAAAAACAATCCACTTTTTGGGCCTTAACGGTCTATTTGGAACTCCGTATATCATCATTCCCATTGATTCCAAAAATATTTTTCGCTAATAACTTCATTTACAAATTAATACACATATATAATAATTACTAAATTAGGAAAATACTAATTGATAATATATTAATGAATTGATTTGGTTTATATCAATTATCGCCTATATAAATACCAACTAATTGAAATTGATGTTTTTTTTCCACCCGGTTTAGATCGGCTTAATCGTACGTTAATGGGGATTCGAAATAATTGAGATGCATATTTATGTTTGTTTTTGGATGAAATTTTATTTTCGATTTCTCATTTTGTTTTTGCTCATCAATATCAATTACATGTCCAAGAAAATAATGAGCAAGCAAATATTAATGATTTGCAAAAATATGCAAAACCAAACACACACACACTCATACCATCTGTAACGTATGAGCAATTTGTAAATTAGTTTTGGACAACTCATACGTCTGCTTTGGGGCAGGAGATTTTTACATTTTGTTGTTTCGTATGTGGCGCCTTAATGTATGCAATAGAAAGCAGCGTTTAATGAATTTGAATGAGTTTTTGGTTTGCATTCGATGTAATAGGATTTGTGAAGTAAAAGCTTTGAATTTTAGGTCATTCTTGATAGTGGTCCTTATCAAAGAAGGATCTAGATCAATACATGTACAATTGTGAAAATATTAAACTATTTTCAAGGACCATTGAAGCTACAATTGTTTATTTTTAAACTATTTTTACAAAAACCAACAAAAATATATATAGCGGTGGATTTTTTAACATTTTCAAGGCCCAAAAAAAACTGTAGATCCAGACTGTAGTCATGGACTGTTTTCAAGTACCAATTGTGCTATTATTATGGATTTTTTCATATTTTTGGAGGACGAACTAAACTATAGTTT